TTTTTATTGAAAATCCCTCAAAGTTGCATGTTATTCGTGATGGACCAAACCCCCAGACGTTTATTTGTAGAACTAGAAGGAGCACAATGTGCAATAGGTATCACAAACTCTTTTCCTTACCTGCAGGCAGATGTTGCCCTTACAACTGCTCGTTAAGAGCACAACTACCCACCCTGCTCCTGAGGAAGTGCCTCCGTTGGTTTCATACCCTGGGGGGGGGAAATAAAAAAAATATGCAAAAACCTCTCACTTCAGATAAGACACACGGACCATCCCTTCCTCATCCACTTCCTGGCTCTGTGTACTGAACCCATAATAATCTGCTGTGTTTGCTCAGATCTTGTGGGCTGAAGCAGCCTTGGAGCTCAGCTAGAACGGGCTGGGGCTTTCCTGGTGTGCTCTCTCTCAAGATAAAAGGAAAAGGATTTCTCAGTTTGAGTCACCAGGAGTGGGGGGGGAAGGTGAGGAGGGGAGAGGAAAGTAGAAAATTAACTTTCACAAATAGGTCAAGCTAATTTCTTTTCACATCTCTACAAAAAATTGGACAACGTTTTTTTGGTATCCATGAAAACCAGTTCATCTTCCATGCCTGTTGTTTGCAGGAGGCTGTAGCTGACTACCTGAGTCTCTCAGTCTAAATTAGACAGGCCAGTGTTTACAGAATAAAGCACTAATTGACATAAGACTGGGAGGTTTGCCTAGGGAATTTAAAAATGGTACTTACTGAACCAATTACATTCACAGTGTGACAACTGCCTTTTCTTTTATTTCTCCTCATTGCACTGCAGACTTTTGGGCAAAATTCTATTGAGGAAGAAAAGGGGAATGAGAGGGGACTCCATTAAATGAATAAAATATGAAAGGGCAGGTACGAGTCATTACCCAGTTTCTTTTCAGCAAGGAACAAGTAAATCAAAGCCTAATCAATATATTCCTTTCAAGTAAAGTTCAAACACTTAAATCTCAGCCCCAGGAGATCAGGCTTAAAGGAGCTAAATTTACACTGCTTAGAGTGCAATGATGCACTTGAAATGCAGAACAAACATTGCCTCCCATGAAACCCACCCCCCACCAACTGCACCTCCACCGCGGGGCTCCAAAGCTCCTCTGAGCTTCCCCGAGGTGGAGGCACCGGGGGACCCTGAGGAGACCCCTGCCCGGGTCGGGGCTGCACCCCCTGCCAGCCCAGGGACTGGAGCCCAGCACATTCCCAGTTCAGGAACAGCTGCAGTGACTCCTCCAGCGAGTGGCAGTTTGTCAGCACAGCCAGCACCCTGACACCCCAGAGAGCACATGGGCCCGGCAGTGGGGACAGGACAAGAAGGGCAGCACGGACTGGCAGCCTCAGGTGTTCCCAGCAGCCCAGGTTGGTGCCTGGGACACCTTCCAGGAGCCACCAGGCTGCAGTTGGGACAGAGAACACCTCACCTCTGTGACACTCCATATCTGTGCCCAGCTCTCCAGGTTTTAAAGAAGTGATGTCCAGGGAAGGTAGCAGTGGCCTGTCTGAAGGCGAGGGAGGCAAATTGCAGTGCCTGCTGCAGGGCTCACTGCAGTGCAGTGCCTGCTGCAGGGCTCACTGCAGTGCCTGCTGCAGGGCTCACTGCACTGCAGTGCCTCGGCAAACAAGGGGCAAAAATATGCTTAAAAAGTACCTTACACTTCTCAGTCTGTAACACTCAACTCCTTTTGTCAAAAAAAGCACAATAAAAACTTAATTAAAAATGTCTGCATCTAATGATTTCTTCAAATAACATTTTTAAGGACGTTTCTTCCTTACAATGGCAAATACAGTTTGCAATTTGCTTCTCCACAGTGATGCTGCTGGTTAACTCCAAACAACTCTCAACACACCTTCTGATGAACACTTAAAATCTGTTTTTATGTTTTAAAAGTAGACGTCAGCAAGGCTATTAACACAGGCTTTGGATCAACATGCCCAAGTACAGCAAGGTAAACACTCACTGCCTGGTCCCATTTTTACCTGGTTTTAACACAGGAGCTGTTGCTGCTTGCCAGCATCCTCTCGCTGAGCCACAGGAAGGATGTGCCCAGCAACACTGTCAGCGAGATGGAACAAGCCTTAACCTGTCATTGTCGGTCCCCTTGCAGGCAGCACATACCTGCAGCTGAAGCGGGGTGAATGGATGCCCTGGGTGCTGCCCTGGAGCAGGGGCGTCCCCAGGCCAGCCTGCCATGGGGACACAGGGTGACAGGAGGGTGACAGCCCTGGGCTGCTCCCAGAGCACTGTCCTGCCCACCGGGCACGGCTCCCGCAGCCCCGGGAAGGGCCCAGGAAGGGCCCATCTCCCAAGCTGGGACTCAGGCCAGGGAGCAGCCCTCATCCCTAAGGGGACAGCTTGAACTTCTGCTGCAGGGCTCACTGCAGTGCCTGCTGCAGGGCTCACTGCAGTGCAGTGCCTGCTGCAGGGCTCACTGCAGTGCCTGCTGCAGGGCTCACTGCAATGCCTGCTGCAGGGCTCACTGCAATGCCTGCTGCAGGGCTCACCCCTCTCCACAACAGCAGGGTAGCGTTTTAACTGACTAGCAGAAAATGTTATGCTGTCTCTGAAAAGCACGACTAATACCTTTCATTCTGTTTGTAACCATGACAAAACATTTTTCAGTTAAATATTTGTTATTTGAGCCCAGCTCCATCACTTAACAAACACTGCACCACAGCCTTTCATTTCCATCTCCTTCTATATTCAAGTCAAGCAAAAGGAATCTAAAAAAGAAACTAAAAAGTGAAAATGACAGAAATGTTGCAACATTTAAGAGACAAGGGATAAAACACCTACCAATGTAACAAAATATTCTTCCTACAAATGCTCCTTTATTACATGGCCTCAAAATCACTCATATCTTTGTCACCTGTTGTGCTTCACACTGGCCGGGCTCATCATAACTGAACACACACACAAACTGATTAGGCCACTTTGCAAACAAATCTTAAGAACCCCACAGACAAGGGTGACTGCAGGGGCCACCACCTCCCTCCTGGGCAGGAAACGTCTCCCACACTTTGCTGCAGAATCTGCAGCATCATTTCCCCTCTTGAAGGAAGTCAGGTTCGTTCCAATAGACTCCAAATGGGCTGTTCTGGTACCTGGGACTTAGGGCATATCTGCTCAGACTTCTGAATTATTCAGGGGGAAGTTTTATTGGCAATAGTGTGGGTGCACATCATTTATTAATACCTTCTCTGAACAGGTGGGGAAAAAAAATGCTGCCATTTCCACCCAAATGTATTATGGCTTCTACAAACAAGAGCAGGGCAGGAGAACTTTATCTCCTGTATTTTTGTTCAGAGTTGGAATAAAGTAAGAGTTGTGAAAAATCTGAGAAGCTATAAAACGACCCTGTGGTCCTGTCAGGCATTTAAGAAAACCCCTGCCCACAGAACAGGCTCACATCTCAGTTACAAGAATAGTGATGAAAAAGATCAGTGCCTTCCATGTCCATGACTAGTAGCTTTTCTCTATAAAATGAAGTAATAGTAACTGTGTGAATACACAAGTTTTCTTGAAGTAATTCACAACATTTAATACTGACACAGTATTTTCTCCTGCCCTTCATGTAGCTCGTCCCCTACTCCATTTCCCCTGCCCCTCACATTGCCACCTCCCACGGGTTCCTTCATCCCTTCTCTCACCTGAGCCTCTCCACAGGCAGATGGGGAAGGACTGAGAGATAAAGCAGGAATTCCCGTTTGGCTGTGATAGGAGCATCCTTACCTATTCCAATCAATTCTACCAGCTGCAAGAAAAGGAATGCCCTTTTGTTCAGGCCATTTGGAAGGACACAGAGCAGGTGCTGGCAGGTAAGAAGTAGGTGGAAGCTTGGAGAACAATTTTCAAGCACTGTCAGTCACACAACACGCACTTTACAACTTTAAACATCATATTTCAATTGTCATTTATTACATTTGGGTAAAATGTGCCTGAAAACTACTCTGTGGCCAAGCCACAAAAGGAATCCTATCTAGCAGCTTACGAGAAATGAAGTGCCTAAAATCAGCTGCTGCCTGAGGGAGAGGGAGGGAAACAGGCAAGACTGCACGTTTATACCAGACCTGGCACACTTGCATTTTTCTTTTCCCATGATCTGCAGCCACAGCCAGAACTGCTGCAGGATTTGCAGGGCAGCTCAGGACACTTCAAAATTGAAACAGAACTAAAAAAGCTGAACAAAACATCCCAACCCAAACTTCAATGGTATTAACTACTCAGCAGCTCAAGAACAGCTCACGGCATGTTCTGAGCTGGGGACACCTAAGCTCATCTGAACAACAAATTTATCCATCCAATAACTAAAAAAATATAAATCATGGTGAATATAGGTTCATTATACTCCTGCAGTACGAAAGGTTCACCAGCCCAGACATGATAATGCCATGTTTTCAGGCACACACCTACACTTTCATCCATCTGAAACAAGACAGAGAGTGAAGCAGGGGAAGCAAAAAACCAACCAACAAAAAAGCACAAAACCCCCTCGATTTCTCATTAAGACAGTTTAATTAAATTTTCCTTCCTTCCTTCTCCTTCTTGCTCCATTTGCAACAGGAGTAAATTCTGAACAGTTTGAACAACACAAGCTGAACTCCCAAGCATCTCCAAAGCCCAACCTTCCTGAGAACAAGACTTGCACACAGCTTCATTTCCCCACAAACACTCCAGGAGATGCAGCTGCTCAGCCCAGTTTATCAATATGACATGACTCCCAGAACCCAGAGGCCTTTGAACGCCGCTCCCTTGGGAAGCTCTGCTGGAGAGCTGGGGAGCTTTTATCCTCTTTCATAATTCTTACTGAAAGAGACAACTACTGAAACACAGAGAACTGCTACAGGGAGACTGACTGTGGCTATTGTAAATACATCAAGCTGCCAAAAGAATCTAACACTCCTGGAGAAGTGTGGCATGACATAAATTCCTGTTGGCTGCTTTTGACTATTTCAGCGTAAAGGTGCTATAGAACTGCAAATTATTATTACAGTATTAGCTGGTAAAATGAGGCATTAGGAAGAAGAACTGTTTGAATGCCTGGGGGAAATCAGGGATAAGAATGAATTACAGAACCTGCTACAGTCATTCATGCTGTATTTTAAAATGTATTTGAAATAAAACTATTACCATAATAAAACTAAATCCACTTTTGTTCTGCCTGTTCTCTGTAGACAACAGAAAAGGTCAAATATTTTTTCAACACTTAAAAGACTAAAAGAATCAAGACTTAAAGCATCCATTTCATTTTGAGCCCAGGTGATAAGGTGATTTGACAAAATTCATAAAATAATTCAAGGAAGAAATCCAAGCAGCAAATAAACTTACCTTCTCCACACCTTGTTTTAAAAATGATGGAGCAAGAGCTTCCAACAGTCAGTGGAGCAAACCTGCCCCTGTCACTGATACTCTGCTTTTTTTGTGTGGTCTGGCATAAGAACCAGGAACACAAGAGCCTTTTATTTCTCTGCCTGCTTAGGAAACCTTAAGTGTAAACTCCACGTTAGAAACTTCCTGTTTGAGAGCCAAGGGAGGGATTCACCCCTTACATGCATGGATTTTGTAGGGCAAGCTCAAGGCAAACATAAGAAGACCCAGGAGCATCAGAGGTTCCTGATGCCCATCCCTGTGGCCAGTCCTGCTGCAGGCCCAGTGGGGCTTCCCTCGGAGGACCCACCAGTGCTGGAGGAGCCCCAGGACCAGCAGCACCACGAGGAGTCTGGGGAGGACACAGCAGCTGCCTCCAGAGCCAGGGAAGACAATTGTGTGGAGGTCAAGTGAAGGAGTTGGAGAACATGAAAAGTTTCCCCTCAGCCACAAGATGGATGTCAGCAGCAAAAATCCACCACTGAATTCAGCTCCTTTGGCTGGGATTTACTTCTTTAATCATTTTGCATTTTCACCATTGTAGGAGACAAAAAAGGGAGACCCAAGGAAAATATTGATCTGGGATTGATTTCCGTGGCAATGCCACATCATTACACATAGTCACAGGGAGAAGTCTATTAATGAGATCCAGCTACTAAATTATTGACTAGTTAAGTACAGCAAATTTGGTCTAATTGTTTTCATGATGGGAGTTTAATTAAAGTGTCTTTAGTATAAGAAGACCAGTAACACTGCTGTTCAGACAGCGCCAGGGAGCGTTCCCAGGGTCTGCATGGCTCTCAGAACTAAATTAGAAGTTACATCCAGTGCAAGGCTCTTCAAAAATGAGGGAGCTTTTGTACAGGGGATCTTTTTAACTCTCATCTCCAGCTGAGGAGCACAGCTCCTGCATCACGTGCATCTCTCCACATCAAGGAGGGATCTTCTCACCCTGCACCCGCTGCGCTGCCAGAGGCGGCAGCTGCCCCGGGCTGTGGGAAACAAGGGGAAGTGCTGGGGACAGAGGGAACCCGACAGCACGGAGGGAAACCAAAGGAAAACAGTGAAGAAATGCTTTGGGGTGGGGGGGTGGCTGCCCCGGGCTGTGGGAAACAAGGGGAAGTGCTGGGGACAGAGGGAACCCGACAGCACGGAGGGAAACCAAAGGAAAACAGTGAAGAAATGCTCCGGGGTGGGGGGGTGG